CATGTACCTAAGGTTCCAGAAGTTTTTGTCAGAGGAAATAGCAAGTGGGATGAGTAGAGAGTAAAAGTATAAAGAGAAAAAAAAAAAAAAAGAAGGGAACCTATACATTCCGGAATCTCTGTCCTGTGCCTTCCACTTACTGCTTTGTCATCTTAAAATCATTTGACATGTGGTTTCACATGATATTTCTGAAAATGAAATGATTTTTCTCATTTATTTTATTCATTGAATTCCCGTTAAACTACTAGTTTGTGCCAGGAGTGTAGCATTTTAAATAAATTGAATTATAATTATATTTTTCAGTAGCATCAAAAATATAAAATATCTTGAAATAAATCTAATGAATCACATTTAAGACATTTACACACATCTTTTACAACGAGGTCTGGAAAACTTGCTTCTGTAAGGAGCCAGATAGTAAATATTTTACCTTTATCTCTATTCCATTTCCTTCTGCATTTTAAGATAACTTTTTTGTTGTTTTGCTTTCATTTTTATTTTTTATATAAGGCATATGCACTCATCGGAGAGAGACAGAGAGAGAGAAGGAAAGTGAGAAAGCCCCCTCCCAGGTGAATGGGCACGTTGCAATCCCTTTCTCTCCATGCTCCTCTGAAGAGTTTGGGCATGCACAACACACATGCCCTCAGTGCTTTTCAAGCTGCTGGGTCTGGGCCTCTAATCACATAGTTGGCCATGTGGAATTCAACACCTTAGCTGCTACCTGCTTGCTCCTAATAGCTCTTTAAAAATAGAAAAATTAGTCTTAGTTCATGCACCATACAGAAACCAAACCTGGGCTCAATTTGACACATGGGTAGCCATGGTTTTCTGACCTTCTTCTTTAGGACACCCATCAGAAAAATTAAAAACAAATAACTGAAGAAATATTTCTATGCATAGGTTGGAAGAATCATTGTAAAGTTATTGGGGCCAGCACATGGCATAGTGGTAAAGGTGCTGGTCTCGCACATTGTCAACCACTGTTTGAGTCTCAGACCCAGTAGCTTGAAACTCATGCAGGGCAGGTTTTCATGCATGCTCAACATCCCAGCAGGAGACTGGAGGAGAAGGATAGCATCATGACCATCCCCCTGAGGGTGATTTCTTGCTTTCTGTCTGTTTCTCTGTGTGTCTTTAGTGAGCACACATGCCCTATATCAAAAATATCTCTTAAAAAAATTGCAGAGCTATTCATTTTCCCTGTGTTGATCTATAGATTTAAAGACATCAGTAAGTTAGATTTAATCAATATTGAAAACTATTGTTTTTCAAAGATAGTGTTAAGAAAGTGAAAGACATGAGACCAGCAGTTAGTGTAATGGCTAAGTCACTGGACTCTCATGTAGTCGACCGTGGTTTGAGTCCCGGACCCGGTGGCTTAAACTCACGCCAGACATGTGTACCTGCATGCCCAAGATCCCAAGAGGAGAATGGAAGAGAAGGGATTGCAACACGGCCATGCTCCCTGGGGGATGGTTTTCTCACTTTCTGTCTCTGTCTCTCTCTGTCTTTCTGGTGAGCACATGTGCCCTTATAGCAAAAACCTCTCCGGAAAAAAAAAAAAAAAAAAGAAAGTGAGACATGTCAGATAGGGAAAGCATATTTGAAAAACATTTATCTGGCAAAGAACTTATAACAAGAATATAAAAAGAACTCTAAAACTAATTAATGAGAAGAAAAATATTAAAGTGAGCAAAATGTTTGAACAGACGCTTCATGCAAGAGGATAAATGCATGGTATGATTTTTGTTTCATTTTACTTTGCTTTTAAACAAGATTCAGTTATGTTGAGATCCTCCTGCCTCAGCTTCCTGACTAGATGGAACTATAGGCATGTAGCACCACACCCAGCTTTTGGGGTGAGCCAAAATTAAACCCAGGCCTCCCTAGTGGCCTCAGCTTGCCAAGTAGCAGTGTCAACCAGTAAGTACTATCATGCTGGGCCTGGAAGAGCCTTTTTGATCTCCAGGAGATGCAAATTAAAACATAATTAGATACCACTGTACATTCACTAGTATAACTAAATTGATAACGACTGGCAATACCAAGCATTAGTGAGAATGTGAATCAACTAGAAATCTTATACACTTGTTATGGGAAGGTAATATTGTACAAGTACTTTGGTAAATTGTTGAGCAATTTCCAAAAATGTTTAACTTACACATAAAATGCATTCCTTTCTTACATAACAGAAATGAATTTATAACGATTCTCCCCAGATTCATATACAAAAGTTTGTAGCAGCATTATTTGTAATAGCCAAAAACTGAAAGCAACTTATTATCAAAAACATACGAATAAACAGATTGTACATTTGTATATTAGAACACTATATTCAACAATAAAAAGAACAAACTGATGATAAAAGCAACAATAAGACACAAATAGATGGAATAATATCCTGTGTCATGAGCTGGAAGAATTAATATTATTAAAATATTCATTCTGCCAAAAGCAATCTATAGATTCAATGCAATCTCTATCAAAATTCCAATGTCATTTTGTCACAGGAATAGAAAAAAACAACTCTGAAATTTATATGGAACCACTAAAGACCTCAAATACTCAAAGGAATATTGACCAAGAAAGCCAAGAGTCATCACACTTTCCTATATCAACATATATTATAAAGCTAGATTAATCAGCATAAAGACAAGACACATAGGGACGAGTAGATGGCATAATGATTATGTCAACTGACTCCCACATAGTTGACCACAGTTCAAGTCCCACACCTGGTGGCTTAAAAATTCATGCCCTGTGTGTGTGCATACATGCTCAAAATCCTGAGACTGAAGGAGAAGGGATTTTTTTTCTTTCTGTCTCTGTCTCTCTGGCTAGAACATGTGCCTTATAAGCAAAAGTCTGTCACTTAAAAAAAAAATAAAAAGACACATAGCCCAATGAAACATTATTAAGCTCAGAAACAAATTAACAAATTCACATGTTTAATTTTTGACAAAGATGCTGAGAACACACAATGGGAAAAGGACATTTTCTTCAGTAAACAGTGTTAGGATAAGATACAGAAGAATGAAATTAGATTAGACCTCATCTCTCACAATACAAAAAATAAAAACCTCATAATGGACAAAAGACTTAAATGTAAGACTTGAAACTACATAACTTCTGGGAGAAAACATAGGAGAAATCTCCAAAACATAGGTCCAAGTAAGGGTCTTGAAGATAAGACCTCAAAACTGCAGATAACAGGTCAGCCGTGGTGACACAGTGGCAACACAATGCTTTGCAACACTGAAGTCACATGTGAAGGTCTCAAGTTCACATCCCAACAGGCATGCATGTGTGCATTCTTGATTCTGGCTGTCTGAAGATCTGGGGGTAGACTGAGGCATGAAGACCCAGTTGGGGGTATCCTTCTCTGTATCTCTGGTGCAAGAAATAAATAAATAAACTTATTGTTATTAAAAAAAAAAGACAGACAAAAAAATAAAAAGTAGACAAATGGGATTATATCAAACTATAAGGTTTATCCACAGGAAAGGAAATAAGCTATAGAGTGATGAGACTATCTATAGAACAGGGAGAAATTATTTGCAAACAGTACATTGGATAAGGAGCTAATATCTAACTTGAACTTAAACTAGTCAATAAAAAGAAAACCAATAACTATTTTAAATGAACAAGACAACATACATTTCTCAAAAGAAGTCATAAAAATGGCTGACAGATACTTGAAAAAAATCCTCATTCTAGCATGGTGGTACCAGAGGTATAGTGCCACTGCACAAGACCAGGGGTGCATGAGAGGCCTGGGTTTGAGTCCCAGACCAACCTAAACAAATTAGCTGTGGTGGTGTATGCCTGTAAAACTAATTACCAGGGCAGAAGGATTGTGGCATGGAGAGACCCTGTCAACAATCTCTCCCTCTCTCTCTCTTTTTTTCATTTTCACTCTCCCTCACTGTCTCTCATTAAAAACAAAACAAAAAACAAAAACTTCACTCTCTCTTATCATTAGAGAAATGTAAATAAAAATCACAATGAGCTATCACCTTACACATGTTACACTGGCTTGCATCAAAAAGATAAAAACATAACTCTTGATGAGGATGTGGAGAAATGAGTTCAGTTTTGATGCCAAAACTGAACTGCATTTCATTACTGTCAGACTTTATGCGTCTCAAAAGCTTTTATACTTATCAGATTGGAGTGAAAAACAGAGATGTGTTCAGTGTTTCAGTTCTTTTTGAAAAATAATTTTACTAATTAACATTTTGACACTGAAAAAAATTACATATATTTTGAAGTAGAATGAAGCCTTTGCCTTATGACTTTCAAAAATAAAGACATTTCTTGCTTGTAGGTAATTGCTGTGAGCTATATCTTCATATTTTCTAGCAGTTTATATTCAATATCCTTTGTGAGGAGAGTTGTTATTATAGTTTAAAAACATGTTAGAACCTGCATGAGCACATTTTTATCACTATAAATTAAGTGGGGTGGGGAAGAAGTGCATGTATCTAAGCACCCAGATTGACCCTGACATATGGTCTATGCCTAGAATTAAGATTTTCCTTTCCTATTCTTCCCCTCTTCAGTTTGTGATAGGAACAAGGGATGCTTCAGCTTTTATTTTATTCAGTCATTTCAAAAAATTTATCTTCCAATACTGAGCAACTCCAGATATTTTCAAAGTCCTTGCTCATAGGAATATAAATAAAAGTCACAAATAAACAGTAACTCAACATCTTCAACACAAAGGTAGTATAATAAAAATCTCCAAAAAGTTCATGGAAAAGTGTATTTTCAAAAAAATTATGCATGATATCAAAATATAAACTTGTACTTCTTCACAGATTTTTTTTTTAGTCCCCTTGTGTGTCTAAAATACCTTCATATTAAAGTAGTGAAGAAGAGTCTTTCATACAATATTCACATCATGTGCATATGATCCAATTTCATCTTTTAGTTTTTATGTTTTTCCTGAAATACTCTTTTCTTTTTCAACATGTAATGTTCTATTTTCTTAATAGAAGCTGAAACTCTGGGACCAGCAGATGACATAACAATACGTCACTGGACCCCTGCATGGCCGAGTCCTAGCCTGATGGCTTGAAACACACAGAGTGTGTGTGGGTGCGTGTGCATGCGTGCCCAAGATCCTGGGAGGAGAACGAAGTAGGAGAGACTGTGGCATGGCCAACTCTCTTTGGGCGGGTAATTTCTCACTTTCTCTCTCCTGTCTCTGTCTCTCTCTCCAGCAAGCGCACATGCCCCAAGACAACAACCTCGTAAGAAAAAAAGAAAGAAAAAAAAAGTTGAAACTCAGAACAGCTTCCCGGGGACTCAGAAAACATAATTCTATCTAAAGAGGTAAATATACATAAGTTTGGGTCATAAAACATAATTACATGTTAAGGCTTTAGGCAAAGCACATCTGAATATATCAAAGCTGCAATGCAATAAACGCTAAATTTTTGTGGATAAACATCTTTTCCACTGGAGGGTGCACTTTGTCAGTACATCAAGATTTTTCACAATTTCTTGAAAGAGTATACTTTATAAATAGTATCTGAGATCTAATTATTCCTAAGATGCAAACAGAATACCGAGCAGAATTTATGAAACTTTAAAGAAGTAAAATATTTCCAGTAGGAATCTGGGCTTTATTCCACAATATATTTTTGATTTAATTAGAATCAAGTGATTTATGGGAATATAGTTTTATTATGAAATTTTCTTTTTTTGGATATGATGTATCATTTTATTGGCTATTAATACTGTACAAATGTATATTCATGATGAAGATATATGCAGTTTATCTATAATATTATGAAGTTTTTATAGTCGCTTCTTCAGCAATCTATACATTTGTTTAAAATTCTCTATAAAATATAGGTCACTTCCCCTTTATTAGATTTAACACCTAGTAATAATGTGTAGTCTAAGATTAAATGTAAATTTAATAAGCATAAAACTAATAAATACATTTCTTTTTCCTTTTATTATATACCTAATATAGTATAAAAGTTTTTTTTCCTTATTATATCCCTCATATAGTATGAAAGCTATTAGATAATGCATACCTTAGATAAAATATTAACAATATATAAATAATAATAACATTCAATATTTATTGTGCACTAACTAGGTATTGGGCATAGTTCTATGTTAACTTCCCATTTTTAACTTATTTAATCTTTGTTAACACCTCTACAAATAGACACCACTTTCTGCATTTTACAATCAAAGGTGACACGTGATCGTCCAAGTTCATACATTTGATTTCAGAACTCAACCTAGCCCCCCAGCTTTAGAGTCAAAGTTTGTTTGTTTGCCTGGTTGGTTTTTTAATAGTACAGATATTCTAGAAGTCAGTGTGACCTTTTCTTTTTCTCTTCTTCTTATTTTTTAAAATATTTATTCTTTCCATGAGCAATCAAGAGAGACAAAGAGAAAAGTATCCCCAACAGGGGCCAATCCACCCTCAGCTTTAACCAGCCCCAGAACATGAGCATATAAATTCCTGGTACGCTCAGGACAGTCCTCTGGATGGGAACCCGGAATCCTTCCATTTGGGTCAGCCTTGGAGAGCTTCTGTGTTTATCGGCTGCACTTGGCCTGAACCCACAGGACTCAGACTCAATCATCATTTAATAACTATGATTAGTTTCTGCAAGAAATAGACTTATTATGCAAAAGAGGGAGAAAAAAAGGAAAGAAAAGAAAGCAGGCCAAAGGCCTGTCCACAGTATTTTAACCTGGGGTGTTGAGTTTTTTTTTTTTTTTTGGAGATGTTTTTGCTATAGGGGGCATGCGCTCGCCAGAAAGACAGAGAGAGACAGAGAGACAGAAAGCGAGAAATCACCCCCCGGGGGGGATGGTCATGCTGCAATCCCTTCTCCTTTTGCCTTTCAGGATCTTGGGCACGCATGCACACGCACCCAGTGTGAGTTTGAGCCATCAGGTCCAGGACTCAAACCGCAGTCAACTACATGGGAATCCAGCGGCATAGCCATTACACTAACTGCTGGTCCCTAGGGTGTTGAATTGAATATGGAGTTACTTTGCTTCCTCTTACAACCTGGCTACATTATCACTTATGATAATATCATCTCAAAAGACTTGAACTATTGGAACGTATAAAAGCTGTCACACTGGGACAGTATACTGAGTAGACTCAACTAGTCAGGTTGAATAAGCAAGAAACGGGAAGTATCTTGGATGTTTGATCATACACATTTACCTGAGAGGGAAAGAGGCAAAGACTATGAAGCACAATGTTTGGGTGTTCTCCTTCAGTTCAGGAGGGCACTATCTCACACTTGGAATTACCATTCCAACCCAAATACTAAGTGACATGAAGACCAACAGTTTTGAATGGGGGTAGAGCAGAGGAGTTCTGAGTAGGCCCAACAGATGATGCTAGGAGATCTGTGGTCTGGGCCACACATGAGAGAGAGAATCAAAGAGAGAGAGAAGGGAGACACCCCCCCAAGAAAGTCAGATGCAACAATCCATCCCTAACTTTAGCCAGTCCCACATCATGAGTTTACACACACACACACACACACACACACACACACACACCCCACATGGCACTATGCTTCCATTAGGTAAGTATATGGGAACTAAAGGGTAAAAACAAGTGACCCCGCTCACCCTCCCGTCAGTGACCCAGTTGGGGAACTTGTGTTTTCCTTCAATTCTAGACATAGAGGTATGGTATGTTTTGAGGACCTTGTGTGAAAGGAGGGATGCCTCTACTTGGGTCCCATTAATTAAACTACAACTGCTACCTGGGCACTTCAGTTGCTCACACAGAAAAACAGAAGGTAGAGAGAGAAGTCAGCATTGTGAAAGGGGTAATGGCATCTGATCATCCAGGAAAGGTAGGTCTGCGAAAGACTGACATATGCTAGTGCACTGTGGCTCGCTCACTTGCTGTTTCTGGAATCCTGTGATTACCATGTGATGAAGCCGGTGTTAACCTGCTGGATGATGACAGACACATGGTCCAGTTGTCCATTTGCCTCAGTGCCAAATATCAGTCATATGAATGAGACTATTTTAGATTATGTAGCTACCAGCCAAGCCACCCACTGAGGCCAGTGGAGACATGCCCAATAGAGTTCAGTAAGGTGGCTTAGACCTCAAAATCATAAGTTAATTACATGATTATCTGTCTAAGAACATAAATATTATAGTTTGTTATAGAACAGGAGTGAACTTATACAAGAAAAAAATTTAAAATAGAAACCAGGCTGATGCAGCCATTCACCCCCCCCCAAACTATGTGACCCAAGGATTATTTCAAGAAAATGGACATTTCTTAATAATTATTATTAGGGCTTTTGAATAAAATCCCTTTATAATCAACTATGATACCATTCTGGTGACTTTGTTGGAACCAAAGGTAAATTTTTTTTTTTTTTCAGGAAGAGATTTTTGCAATAGGGCATGTGTGCTCGCTGGAAAGACAGAGAAAGAGAGACAGAAAGTGAGAAATCACCTCCAGGGAGGATGGCCATGCCACAGCCCCTTCTCAATTCTCCTCTTGGGATTTTGGGCACACATGGCTGGTGTGAGTTTTAAGCCACTGGCTCCAAGATTCAAATCATGGTCAACTACATAGGAATCCAGTGACACAACCATTACACTATCTGCTGGTCCCCTGAAGGTAAATCTTGAGGGTCTGAATATCTATTTTATGTTAGGCTTAACCTGAAGTTATGTCCTGGTAGCCTGCTTCATGTTTTCCCTGGTTCTAGTTTTGGCCCAGCTTGGAACTCTTTATCTTATCACTTGGTTGTATTCATATGGTTGTGTTCATATGTGCACAAGCACATTTAGACAGAATTAAGGTTGTGTGATTACAACTGTACATATCATGGGACGACCCTGATGGTATATCCATCGTGTAGTAATGATCTGCATGGCTTTTATTTACACTTGTTGCCTCATGCACTGGCTATAGCACTACACTGACAGTCTTGATTTTAGGATGAAATGTTGTCTTTAACCATTAAGGATAATACTAGCTGTGGGGTTTTTTTGTTTTGTTTTGTTTTGAAATGCTCTTTATCAAGTTGAAGAAGTTCTCCTCTATCCCTATTTGTCTAAGAGTTGCTATCAAGTATGGGAGTTAAATTTTGTCCAAAGTTTTTCTGCATCTAATAGGATTTTTCTTGTAGAAGCCTATTGATATGTGGATTAGATTGATTTTCTGATGTTAAATCAGTCTTACAGTCTTGCATACCTAGAATAAATTACATCATGCTATATAATTCTTTTTATACATGTTTTAAAATCTAATTTGCAAGCCTGACAAGTGGCGCGGTGGTGAAGGTGCTGGATTCCTACATGGCTGACCACAGTTCAAGTCCCAAACCTGGTGACTTGCTTTCTCACTTCCTCCTCTCTCTCTCTCTGTTGCTCTCTGGTCAAATTTTTTAAAAAAATGAAATTAAATAACATAATTATTCTTAAAACTCTAACTTGCTGGATTGAAAAAATGTGGCACATATACTCTATGAAATACTACTCAGTCATAAAAAACAATAAGACCCTGGTTTTTGATAGAAAGTGGATGAATATGGAAGATTTGCTGCTGAGTGAAGCAAGCCAGGCTATGAAAGAGAAACATTGTTATGTCTCCACTTAATGTATACCTACTGTCCACACTCTATGGTGGAAACTTAAAGATTAGAGGATATAAAAGCATGGAAAATGGTTACAGATACTGGATACAGTGTAGGAAGAGGGTGAGAGAAGAAGGAGAGTGTGAGGAAAGATATTAAAAAGAAAAACAGAGAAGCAAGACATTTAGGGGACACAGAAATGGATTATTATCTGTTGATGATAACATGTATAGTATCCTTACCTGGACTGATGTGAAGTGTAGTCATGTTGGGAAAAATAACTTTACAAGGTAAGTGATGTATAGTGATTGAATGTATTAAAGAAGTTAAAATAAAATAAAATAAAATATATAAATATTTAGATTACTTACCTAAAATATTTATTTTTATTAATTCATAAAATCTAATTTGCTGTTTAAAAAATTATTTACTCTTTTCTTCCATAGGTGAAAAAGACAGAGAGAAAAATGAGAGACAGAGAGAAAGACAGAGAAATAGGCACCTTTGACAGGGTTATTATGCCAAAATCAATCCCCGGCCTCAGCCAGCCTAGGGAAACAAGCATGTATATGCATGCCTGGCATGTTCAGAAAGATCTCCAGAAGCAAATCCAGAGCAAATGAAAGAGAGACATTGCCCCTGTGGGTCAGCCTTGTAGAAAATTGCGTTTCCACTGAACCCATGTCTGGCCCCAAAT